AATCAACCTCCCGACGCAGAAGACAGGGCCCCATGGCTTCACCGGCTCATGCACCGAATACGAAATAGAAATAAAACCCCTTGATGGAAATCCAGACTAGCCTCACCTTGACGCCCAGACTGACCAGGACAGTGTGGGGCAGGGAAGCGGCGAGTCCGCCGCACTCCCGGGCCCAGAGGCAAAGAAGAAAAATCACGACACACAACGCAGTGTTTTTAAAATGCGACCACAAAAGGAGCGTTTTAGATTTATTTCAGGCCTGCCAGGTTGTTTGAATATTGGGGAGAATCAAATGATGTACCTTGTGAGTGAACTTATTAAAAGTGGGAAGTCACTCAATGAAATGAAAAGGCACGGAAAATGACTCGATCGTATTCGGGACTCGCTTAATAAAATCAAGCCATTTCTGCTAAGATGCGTGCGCACAAGATGTGAGTTAGCCCCGAAGCGATGGGTAAGTAAAGAGCTTTTGGTCAGGAGCAAGGACCCCGAGTGTGCAGACCCGCTTTCCCCCAGCATATCAACGACGTCAGATTATTGAGGTTACCATGGTCACGGCAAGAGAGGAGGTCTTGGGGGCCATGAAGACCGTCAGGGGAGCCCGGGGCGTCCTGTGCGGGAGACGCCCTGGTGCGGGTGGAGAAGCGGAGAAGACACTCCCCTCGTGCTCAGGAAGTCTGGAAAGGGTTCTGCTCTGGGTCGGGTGATTAAACTGGGTGAAATCTGGAGCGACGCCCTTAAGGACAGGTGGAAATAAGTGGCCGTGGGGAGGGGCGCCGCGGGGGCGCTGGCCGCCCGCCCTGGGGGACCGTGGGCAGCTGCTGCCTGCTGTGGGCCGGTGGCAGAGGTCCACGGGGTTTGAGCCGTCTGCCCCCAAACCCGTGTTCCCGTCACTCTCTTACTCGTAGTCCATGCTTTTGCAGAATTTGCAAGGTTTCTCCTGCCCGTGGCATTACGGCAGAAATGTCAATATTAGCATATCATGGACAACAGGGAAGTTCCTTAATGTCGTAGCGGCGGTCGACAAACGCCTAGAGCAAATGTCATCCCGAACCGTGCAGCCTGGAACCGTTTATCTGCGAGGCAAGGACGGCCTCTGTTTCACAGTGGAACGGAAGTCCCAGGGAAGTAAGGAAAGCGACGCGGCGCCTGCGGATTAGAAGGGAGCGGTGGGGACTGCACGTTTGCAAGCGAGCAGACGCCGGGTCTGGGTGCGTGGGAAATGCAGAAGTTCCAAAAATATTTCCTGAAAACAAAGATCATCTTAGGAAGGACGCAGAATACGGGATCGAGCCTTTTACATCGGCAGCAGACGTCTCGAGGGGGACCATGTCACGCGGTAGCACGTACAATGGCATAAAAGTCCAATATCTGGACACAAATCTGACAAATTCTGTGGAAGACCTCCATGCGGGAGACTAGAGTGTCCTGGGGAGAGCGTCCAAAGGGCTCGAGTGGGGTGGCCGGGCGACTCGGGCTGGGGCGGGCTCCTGGGCGGGCTCCTCGCTTAACGGAGTCGGTTGAGCGTCCGACTTGGTTTCGGCTCAGATCTTGCTTTCGGGGTCGTGGGATGGAGCCTGCGTCAGGCTCTACGCTCAGCTGGGAGCCTGCTTGACTCTCTCCGTCTGCACGTCCCCTGCCTTCTCTCTTGAATAAATACATAAACAAATCAATCTTTTTTTTTTAAAGGACTTAAATGCATGAGACTTGATGACACGCTTCCAGATTTGAAAAACCCAGGCTTATAAAAATGTCAGTTCCTCCCAAATGTGTCTCTGGACTTGATCAGAATCCCAGTGTGGTTCCCCCCCCGCTTGATAAGCTGATTCTACAATTCCGGGACTACGAGAAGCAGAATCGTCAGGAAGTTCTGCAGACGTCCGCTATAGGAGCCCCGGGGATTGTGGACTCACGACGAAGCTACGGTAATTCGGGTTCCAAGGTCCCAGCGCAGCCCGGAGACGGTCCCCGGCAAGAGGGACACCTGCTAGGTGGCAAGCACCAAGGAGTGGCTCTCCAAACCTGGGAGGGAGCGGTGAACGGGGAGGGCGGGCAGCAGCAGGGGTGGGGGTCCCTGGGGGGCTGGTCTCCGCGACGATGAGACTGGGTTAGAAGCCTACGTGGAGGTGGAGCGTCCAGGCAGGAGAGCCTGGCAAGGCTTGGGGAGACGGGGCCCGACCCCCTTCCCCACACCCGGGCCTGGACGTGTCCTGCATCTGCTGGTCCATGCGCCCTGTCGTGTCCTTCCGTCACAGAAGCTGGTACGTGCCAAGTGCACGCTTTCCCAGAGTCCCGTGAGCGTCTCCCGGGCCCCACGGCTTGTCGCCGTCAGGCTTCTGCCCACCCCGTGCCCCCATCTGAGCCGGGGTCTCTGGTCTGTGAGAGCAGGAGGGGAGCTGAGAGCGCATGGTGAAGAGAGCTTGTGGGTTCGGTGTCCAGAGAAGAGGGTCAGGCTGGGGAAGCACAACACCCCCTCAGCACACACTATCACACGCGCACATACACACCTGTGCACACGTGTGCTCACCCTCACGCACATGGCCTGTCTCGGCCTTTAGACACACTTTCCATTCAGCCACTTGGTCTCGACCCTTTGAAGCTGGACAGTGGGCTGGAGGTCACGAGGTCAGTGGCAGGCCCGTCAGGGCAGCATGGGGGAGGGGGAGGGCAGGGAAAGGTGCCCCCAAAGACGCAGGAACTAGGGCCACGTGGAGGACAGGAAGCTCACTCGTTCCTACAAGTATTTTCTAAGCAGACACTGCCGGCCCAACGTTGAGCAAAACTGAATGAAAGCAGAGAGGGGAGTTGTGGGGAGGGGGTGGGGCGGGGGGAGGGCACAGGAAGGTCTGGAAGCTCAGGGGGGAGCCCCGAGGGGCAAAGACACAGACCTGGAAGCCAGAGACCGAGGCCGGACCCCGTGCCCGCCCGCCTGCTGGGGTGAGGGGCCACCAGACCCTGCCACAGACACCCCCCAAGCGAGGACCAGCCCCTCTCCTGAGCCCAAGGGTTGGGGAGACGGCACCTCCGGGCTTCGGCCCTGCACTGCCTGCGAGGCCACTGGGCCGTTTTGGCAACAAGAGGCCCAAAGCCTTGCTGGGTGGGGCGCGGCCCAGGGAAAAGCCAGCAGAGGCCTCCTTCCCGGGGGTGCATTTCCTCCAGGGACCATCCCAGGGGGTCAGCCCGCCGGCGGTGGCAAAGGCTTAGGGAAAACAAGCAAAGAACATTTTACCTCTATGTTCCCGGCCCCACCAGGCATAATAAAGCCCCCAGGACCGCAGGGTAGGGCCTAGGTTCACGGGGTCACCAGCTTCCCAGGTGTCCTCCGCATGGCATTCTGACCCTACATCCTCCAGAAAGCTGCTGGTCAGTGACGGAAACCCACCTGGGCGTGACCTTGGAGGCTCTGGAAGACCCCCGCCCCAGCCACCCTCCTGGAAGGCCTCTGGAAGGCTCCCTGCTCCCCTCCACGGGGTGACCACATGTAACTCCATGCAGGGGTCCCAGTTCCGCACCCCCTAACCTGCCGCTGCCTGGGGTCAGGGGTCATGCCATGGTATTCCCTCCTCACCCCTCCTCCTGGGCTTCTGGGTCAGGCCAGGGGCTGGAGTCCTGCCCACTCACCTACGCACCACCCTACCACCCAGGTCCTCTCACCTGGGAACCATGTCTCCAGACCGGATCTGCTGCACCCGGGACCCCTGCCGGACTGGCCCTCACAGAAACACCAGCCTCTGTGCAGCCTGACTCGGCGCTCGGAGCTGTGGACCCACCAGGACTCAAGTCCCAGAAGCCCGGCCTTTTGGGGATTGTCCGGCACCCTCCCGTCCTCACCGGAGGCTCAGCCTGCTGTCCTGGGGGAAGGGGTGACTCTCCTGTTGTCTGGACGCCGCCAGACAGGGCCCCATCTGCACCCTCTGAACTCGACACCCGGGACCTCATGACCGCCGTGGTCACCAGGCCTGCTCCCAGTGGCTCTCCGTCACCAGCAACCCCGAGCTCGGCATCCCAGGCTTGGCACCCCCCTGCCTCTCTTCTCCCTTCATGGACACTCACTGCTACGTCCCCATCCCTCCAAGCACAGCTCTCGGCCCCTTCCTTGCTTCCTCCCCCAACACAGGCCCCTCAACCCAGCTGGCACCTCTGGCCTTTCCATCCTCAGCGCCCCACACTCTCAGCTTTCCCCGGGGATGCCCGTCTTCCTGCCAGCCGTCCTGCAAGTGGCGGTGTTCCTCGGGCTCCGCGCCGGCTGGCACTACTCAGGCCGCCGGGGCTCCCCGCAGAGCCTCCAAACCCATGGCTTCAGCCCAGATGGCTTTTCTGCTCCCACAGGGCCCTCCTGGGGTCCCCATATTAATGTACAGTCTGACCTGCAGGGATCCCCCCATCTCCTCCCTGCCCGCCTCACCTGCACACCTAGCCTGTCCCCAGAATCCCTCAACCTCGCCTCTGAGACATAGTAAAGACCCTCTCCCAGCACCCCCAGCCCTGGCCCACACGCCATGGGCCGTGCACCCTGCCTTGTCCCCCCCAAGAGGTCCTGATGCTCCCAAAGCACCATCCTCAAAACCCACAAATCACGCCTGATTCCCACCCTGCTGAGCACGCCCGTAGGCAGGGGGTCAGGTCTGCAGACCGCCCTCTTTCCCGCTCGGCACCTGAGCTGCCTGGAGCACCACCTGGTTCCCCGGACCAGCCCGACCCCGTGCCACGGGGGCCTATCCCCTCCGGGGGGAGGCACTGCTTTTCTTTGTTCTAACTTACGGCCAGATGGGCAGCTGTGTTCGTGCTGCCTAACCCTCCGGGGGGCTCATCTTTGGGGCTCCCTCTGCCAACGCCCAGCTCAGTCTGCTGGCCTCATGGGCAGAAGACTGCCAGGTCACGGAGCAAAGCTTCCTCGGCAGAGTCAGCCCTGGGGGCCTGGACCACCAGGCAGCGCCAGAGTGGGGTTCCCAAAGCCATCAACCCCCCGTGCCCTCTCGGCTGTGGGACAGAGGCTGGGCTGGGGCCAGACAGGTACTTTATTGACAGTTCACAGACACAGAGCTCGAGCGGGGTCACAGCTCGGAGGGGTGGGGTCAGGGAAGACAGAGTGAATCCCCAGAGGCTGGCAGCACCCCCCAAACTGGGAAGCTCCCACAGAAGCCCTTCTTGCTAGGTGTCAAGTCAGAGGGGCCCCAGGAGTCTTGGGGGGGCACAGAAGGCCAGGGAGGGCAGCCAGTGGAAGCCAGGGTGCAGCCACACAGACCCCAGACACGGGCAGAGGCGGAGGGTCAGGAGGCAGAGAGTGTGGGCTGGCCCCGAGCTCCCGCCCTCGTAGTGCGCAGAGATTCTGACGGCCTCGATGCCCAGGTCACAGCTTTAGGGGGGCTCCAGGGCACGTGCCCTGAACTGCCCCAACCACACAGCATCCCGTGTCATGGCAGGCGTGACAACGAACATGTCTCAGTGCTTTGTCTCCACGGCCAGCGGGGCCCGGCGGGGCCCTAGTAGTCGGAGAGTGGGTACCGCAGGAAGATGAGGACAAGGATGATGCAGGATGCCGCCAGGGCGGAGCTGGTGATGTTGAACAGTCGGGCCGTCTTGGCGTCTTCCACTGCTCCGTTCAGGTCGTTGAGAAGCTTCTTGTCCCGGACCTGAGGCCAGAGGGAGGAGGTGAGGCCAGTGGCCAGAGAGAAGGAAAAGGCTAGTACCGGGGACTTTTGTGCAAAGGGCACACAGGAATTCCTTATATTTCTTTTTGCAACTTTTCGGTAGGTCTGAAATTATTTAAAATATAATGGGATTGTCAACAATGCTCTATGACTTGACTGAGTGTTGCTGAGAGTGCATCTGAAGTGTTCTTACCACCAAAAACCTACAGACCTCAAAAACAGTAATTGCGTGTGGTGATGGACGTGCTAACGAGCCGCCTTGCTGCAGTCATCATGCAGCAGGTGCGCGTGTCGTATCGCCACGCCGTAGACATCATCGGACTCACGCAGTGCCACATATCAGCTGTATCTCAATAAAGCTGGAATCCATAAGTGAACACATAAGATACAGAAGGAAGCTGGTCTCAGAGTTTTATGATCAGACAATGGAGGATGTAAGTGTGCTCTATTCTGAACGAGGCCCCTAATCTAAAATTAATAGGGATTACCTGAAAATAGGCGCTACGCACAGACAGAATAAGTGGTAGTCCCTACAGTCTCTAGGAAGGGATGTTAAGATACAGGGAGTAAGCTGGAGCCCAGGAAGTCCTGGGAAGACAGTGACTGTGGGCAGAGCTGGACCCACTTCCAAGATTCTCTGGTTAGGAAGAGACGTTCCTGAAGAGGAGGCCACCCTCACCCAGGATAAATCTTAGGATTTCCTTTTCTTCGGCACTTTTTTCTTCCACAAAGTCCAAAGAAGTGTAGCTGGGTATGTGGATGGATGAGAAGGAGGGGGAATAGAAAAAAAATAGTGCATGGATTTCATGGATGGAGGAGATGACTTAAGGGGTAAAGAGTGCAAGTGAGCAAGGATGAGTGTGAAGACAGGTACATGATGATGGATGCGCATGGCTCAGCTAGAGGAGCAGAAGGGATGGCAGAGGGTGGGGAGGATGAGTGGGTGTATTGATGTGTTAGGTCAGAGGATGGACGGATGGATGGCTGACAGGTAGAGCTGGTAAGTAAGATGGAGAAAGTTACTTAGAAGTTGAGGTTAGATTAATAGTTAAGTGCATTGATATGTAAAATGGTGGGATGAGATGGGGAGAAGTAGGGAAGGGAGGAGGAAGCATAATGAACTTATATAAACACAAATGAATGGAGGGTTTGGTGATTATATGGTTGGGTTGAAGACAATAAAAGATGGTGGATTGATATATAAGGGATTGTGGGTGGATGGATGGACGGACGGACGGGTGGGTGGCTGGGTGGATGATTCGA